TCCTCCTCCTCCTCCTCCTCCTCCTCCTTCTTCTTCTTTTTATTCTTCTTCCTCTTCCTCTTCTTCTTCCTATTATAAGGGTGTTTTCACACTTAGGGAGATTTGTATAGCTTCAGAGAGAAACCAACATGGTAGATGCATAAACACCATTTGACACCATGGTGGAATACAATATGCTTCATTTAGTGATCCTACATACTCTTTTTTAAAAAGCCACAGAAGCTCAACTTGATAGCTGTACTCCAGAAAGAATTTGAAAACTATAACTTTATTACTCTTAAGTCATTAGTAAATCATTAAAAGTTAACATACACCCACAAAAGTGCCTTGATGTATCACCAAGTCAGTCACTGAGTACTAATGGCATTGTATATTGTTGCATCTAGACTTTAAAAGAAACTTAGGGGCCATTTAATATTATCCCCATTTTACTCAACAGAAAAGCAGACGGATGGCTAATTTGTAATAGTAAGTTTAAACTTCAGCCCAACAACTTAAAATCTAGTGTTTTTCACCATATCTAAGAGTAAGAAACCAAAAGACTTCTGCACCCAATAACTTAAAACCTAGATCAGTGGGGCGCGGTGATACACAACCTTAATGCCAGTACTCAGGAGGCAGGGGCAGGGAGATCTTGGTGAGTTTGAGGCCAGCCTGCTCTACATATTGAGTTCCAGGGATACAGTGTGAGACTATGTCTCAAACAAACAAACAAACCTAGAGAATCTGAACAGAGGTAAAGAAAAGAATATGTGTTCTCTTTGGTGCAGGAAGGAGGCTCACATTTAAATACAAATGCACAAATTCTGGTCCCAGATTGAGGAGCCTCATTTTTGAATGAGAAGAGAATCCTGAATAACAGAAAGAGACAGATACACATAAAGAATTTAAGCCATGTTATAAAACAAGTTCACAGACAGTTATAATTGTTTGGACAGAAAAAAGAATTATAAAATAGGAAGTAATGGATGAGTAAACAGAGAAAAGTCACAGCCTGGTTCCAACATATTTTATAAGGTTAAGTATATCTTTAGGTTTTCTTTGCAGGGGTGGGGGTGTTGAAGGAAAAAAAGAGTTTAAGTTATTTCTCATAACCTAATCCAATCCTACTAAGGGCTAATTCTCCCAACAGAAGTATGGATTTCCATGATCAATACCCAACATTGTAACACAGAGAACTAATGTAAACAAAGCCAACAGTGGTAACTTGGTAGCAGACCTACTAACTAATACATCTATAAACCAAGACTTCGCTCCCTGGGTTCAGAATCCATGCATTTATGTGTGACTCGCCTTTCCCCTCTTGAACTAGAACACATCTTCAAAGACCAGAAGGAAGGAAGGTAAATTGGTACCAACTCCCAGTAGCCTGTCTGCTAAGGCTTCCCCAGACTCTGTGGGAAGCACAAACATATCTCAGAACTGTCAACACCATGCGTCACACTCCATCCTCACTGCCCCTAAGTGGCCTACCTCTAGCAAATTCATGCCAGTGTAAACACATGGTTACACTTGCGACTCAACTGCTACACAATCAGACAAAGGCAGCCTGACGCTTGAATCAGATACCCGTTTGCAAATCTTGCATACATACAGATTGAAAAACATGTCTAATTTACTTAATGACTATTAGTCTAATGCCACCTTATTCTTTGTAGCAGTAAAATTTGGAAATAGGGTCTCTGAAAACGGCAGTGTTGTGTAGCCCAAGAAGAAACACTGCATTTCCCATGCCTTAGAAGGAGAGCACATGTGCAACCTCTGGGTGGACACAAGAGTAAGAAGTAGGAGTCAGCTTTAGGCAGCAAATTCACTCCTCCTTGGGTTTTAAATGCCAGCATTAAAGTAAGCTAGCACACCATGACAAACATGTTCTCTCAGGAAGACATAGAAGGACCCGAGCACCCCAGATCAACCAGGAATACAAAGCTCGCTCATGTTGGTAAGAAGCAGAATTGGATTTATTTAGAAGTGAAGTCTTTATTATGAAAAGCCGAGTTGCAGAAAAACCAACAAGCCAAATACATAACTCTAAGTGAATTTCTCAACTACAGTTTTTCCATAGTTATATTATCATAAACATCTGCGAGCTACTTGCCATTCTGGTCAGTTCCTCTAAAATCCTAAATCCCCAACAACTAAGTTACATCTGAGTTTTAAAAGGAACTATACTCTAGGCTTTCATAGAATACGCACCAAATAACTGAGTCAGTCATAGATATAACCTTCCAGTTTAATTACATATTAAATGTATATCAACTAGATCTATATTATTCCACCTTTTGATGGTGGCCAGGGGTTTATGTCAGTAGCATATAGTTAATAGTCACTTTTGTTCCCAAAATATATTTGTATAAATGAAGTTTCTATACTTCAAAGCCCAAATTCACAAGGAAAGCACCTTCTAAATCTTACTGCTGTAAGCTTGTTTTTCTGAGCTGTTATTACAGATAATAAGAGACTTCACTCCACAGCTCCTATAATAACACAGTATAAATTTTGCACTCGATTTTTTTTTTTTACTTTAAACTCTTGTGATGGCAAAACCATTTTCCTCAAAGCTGATTGGTTGTGCATGTCTACAACAGTGCTTAAATGTGATCCTGCTATCAAGCCTCCTGACAAGGAGGGATCTTTTTATGTTAAGTCTTTTGGGTACTGAACATGACCTTCTTGAAGAATTTTTGTTTTATTATTAAGAAATAAATGTGTCTTGTTCCTTGGCTTTCTCTGGCTTCAGCAGTTTGTAGTCATTTCCAGCATAGACTAGTAAGAACATATTTCAAAGACAGGTTAACAAAGTTCAAGTTTACTTCTTATATAGTGCAGCTTCTCAGTGGCATTGGGTGAGTATCAAAACCATTATCAACATATTGTATAGTGCCAAATAATGACCTTACTTATGGATGTTTGCTAACTTTCCTACTGTACTCCGTGATGTTTCCAAATCACTTTTGTAGACTAATCTTTTGATAAAAGTTTCAGCTCCTTAGTTTATTTGGTGTTTGTTTCTCTTATAGGTTTCCTTCCTTTAACACTGTACCTTTGTACATTCTCCCATAAAGAAGTTTTGTCAACAGTGTACTAGAAGTATCTCAAAATACGATGCCTATCTCATTTTCTCTCTGATTTAGCTCTCATCCTAATCTTAAGGCACCGAAGATTAAGCTCGATTTTGAGGACCCTCTAAAAAGGGTATGGTTGGATAAAATGACTAATATGCCATGGGCTGCCCTAGAGGTGACGCTTTGCTATTCATTTAATTTATTTGCTCTGTTTCCAAACTGGGGTTTCTTCTCATGCAGAAATCCTTATTTTTCCCAAAAGGCTTATGAAAATTTTGGTGAGAACATGTTGCTGCTTCAGTGCAGAAATCCGGCCTCTCTTCCAAAGCCATGTAACTTGGTGAGTATTCCACTTACTCTTCTATTATCCGGTCTTTCGAATGATAAGGTTATTAAGTGCTCTTGAGAAGACAAAATCTCACTTAAATATGTAAGATGATGTGGACAACATAAAGATTTACAGTCATTGTACTTCAAAGCAGCCACTGAGTATTATTTTCAAGTCAAAAAATAAGGGTTAGCTATTATTCAGTTATGTTTTTTAGAGGTAGAAAGGACATTAAAAGTCACCCAATATAATTTGATAGTTTAAAAAAAAATAAGTGACATTATATGCACACAAAAGAAAGTAAGATGCATCCAGGCATGGGTGTACAAAATCTAGAGTGCCTGTGACTCTACTATAAAGATGAAATGGGTAACTGAAGGAGATGAGCACCCAAAGCTTCCCAAATGCCTTGATCCACAACCTCACGGACGGTTAGAGTGGAGATCCTCTGCCCATGCTCTCTTTTCACTTCCCTGTGGCTTTGTAACCTACACTGAACACACTAGCTTCAGCAGTTATTTCTCTAAGGAAGGGACGAAATGCACACCTCTGTCCCTTCCTTCTTACTTTTTCCTGACAAGCCCATGAACAAACGTGCATTATTAAAGTCATAACAATAATAGAAACACAAACAGATGAAAAAATAACTCTGGGAAATTCTATAATTTATTTAATCAGAATGTTAATATTTCTACATAATGCAATGTTGGATACAATGTCTTATAAAACTTCCCAGTCCTGATTTTTGAAGTGTACATTCATTGAAACCAAGGGTATGTACAGTGGATGCGGCTGGACCTTACTCAGCCCTTCTAAACCAACTTGGCAGTGAACTCTCAGAATCACAAATACTCTGTTTTTTCAGGTTATAAACTCTCTTAAGTCTCCTGTGATTCCCCTCCGTCTCCCTGTCCCCTTCTCTCCCTCTCCCCCTGCCTCCCCCTGACACACACATCTTTCCTCCTTAATCTGACTTTGGTAATTAATATCTACTAGTTAACATAAAATTAGGTAGAATCCCTTTATATTTCTGAACTCTCCTTGATAAACAAGTAAGGAAGCTAGTGCCTAACTAACTGTAGAGTGCCCATAAGCTAGTCCCTAACTAACTGTATAGTACCCAAAGCGTAATCATTTTGCTGTGCCCAAATGATATTCGGTTTTGTATTCTAGGTATCAAATGTAAAAATGGAGGTCCTCCTGCTTTTGCTGGGTCTGCTCGGTAACTCTGCCGCCATGCCTGTGAGTGTTTCCTTTGGTGTTGGACGTTTTCTTTGTATTCTCTCATTGCACTCCTTGGGGAAGACTGACAGGTTATTTCAGCTAAGGCTCTGCATTTCTCCCTCAGTTCCAGATGCCAATGCCCCGGATGCCTGGATTTAGCAGTAAAAGTGAAGAGGTATGTATTACGCTCCGTACTGGAGGAGATGTGGGCCAGGGTCCTACCTAGAACCTCATGAAAAGGAGATTGCTGGTACTTTTTTTTTTTTTTTTTTTTTTAGGATATAAAATGTCAAAGGGAGGGAAAGTTGAAAGTCTTTCACTCAAATCAAAGCAAAATTATTCTCCCCCAGGAGTTTACTCGTGC